TTGCACTAATTTCACATTTTGTCCCTCATGTTTCAACAATTTAACAGTTTTGGTAATTTTCCTCAATTTACTGTTACTCCATCAGTTAAGAAAGTGATGGCAACACGCTTGATTCCGTTAGTACTAACGAAAATTGACTGAAATGACTAAAAATGTTGAATTTTGAAACATGAGGGACTAAATGTGTTTTTGTGAAAATGAGGGACCAAATGTGAAATCAGTGTAAACTTGAGGGACAAAATTGTAATTTTCCCAATTTTGAAGGAAATTACCAAATGTAAATTTATTTCAAACTTGAAGTTATTATATATTTTCGTGAAATTGAAAATCAATAAATTTCAAAAGCTGTTTATTAAAGTGAATTTATTATTACTGTTCACTTTAATAAATTTCAAAAACTGTTTATTAAAGTGAATAAGCCAGAAAAAACTGTTCATATATATTGTTTATGTAAACTTACAACATCCATGGGGGAATCAGGCTTGCCTAGAAAGGCTGGAAGCTGTCCTCTTCCGTATGAAACAATTACGGGATCGAACATCCTACAAACGCGACAACCAACATTATTAATTCGTTTCCGCGATAATTTGAAATAATTAAATATTTTTTTAAATAAATAAATATATATATTCTTTTCACCTATTTCCTTGAATCCAGCCAGGGATAGGTTCTTTGTAGCAACTTTCTATGACAGTTGGCCTAATGATGACGACCGGTATATCCCCTCTCGTTTCATTAATTACCATTTCTGCCATCGCCTTTGTCAAGTGGTACGTATTATACCATCCGTACAAATTTGCTCTGTTAGAAAAAAAAAGATTAGGTTATAAATTTATCATGCATGTGTGCTCGTTTTTTTTGTTATACGTAAGTTTGCCCGTAAAGTGTCGATGATAGTTCCTAAATTAAACGACGAGTTAAATTATAACTCGAAGAAAATAAAAAGAGAGGAAAGGCATAAATTAACCTCTCCATTCCAAGCCTTTTCATATCTCTTGTCAAATCATAGTTTGAAGAAGCCTTTTGTTTTCTCGACGCCAAAAGATTTACTTCGTCGGTTATATTGAGCTGAGGAAATCGAGATGTATTGCATGTGTCGTCCTTTCTTCTATTCTCCCCCATAATCAATGGCTTTTCCAAGATTATCCCTTCTCTTTCTCCATTGACATATGCTATATATATAGTAACATTTCGAATATTCATACATATATAACGTTATATGTACTAATTATAAATGAATCAAAACGATTTAATTCCCTAAGTCGTTTTTACTACTTAATTAATTATAATAATAATTACCGGTTGAAATATGGACAAGGAGCTCAAGGTTCTTGCACGTCTTAGCAAAACGCATCAATTGTTGGGGGCTATTGACATTGGCTTCAAGTGAAACATCGTACCTACGTGACATTATAATATAGCAATCGAAGAAGAAACTTAGTTTCGATCAACTTGATTTAGTTTTGATGAAAATTAATTAAGTGAAAAGAGCGAGATAATTAAAGTAATAACCTTTCGTTCAAGGTTGTAATGGCGGCGGATTCTATAATCACATTAACATCTTCCATAATTGCATGAGCAGAATCAGAGTCCATTCCGAGGTTCGGCTCACAAATATTGCCAACAATTGGTATCAGAGTCTCCCTTATATATGCTTGGTAATATTTTCCATGTTTTTCTTTCAAACATCGGAATAACTCGGAGTTTATAAGCTAATTAATTAAAAAGGATATTTGCGTAAATATATATAAACTTCAACCAAAGATAACAATGCAATGCTAAATTGAAAACATACTTCTTTTGTTATTCTATCGACGGCTGCTTCTTGATCGTCCGCTTTCACTAGTACGTAGATTTTACCGATCGGTGTCGACCTTAAAATCTTCTCCACGAGAACTACGTACAAAATCTTATTTAATGTTACTTTCTATACGTACCATATATATATATATATATATATATATATATATATATATATATACACACACATGCATATATACATACCTTTTCCAAGAAGCCCAGTTCCACCGGTGACGAATATGTTTTTGCCTTCGAAAAACTTAAGTATTCCGATACCCTTGCCGGATTCGATTCCTTGTGAAACTTCCAATTTGTTAATATTAGCTACCTTTGTCTTAATATTAATTTGGCGAAATCTTGTTCTAGCTATGTTGTTTTTCTTTTCAACGTTAACTAAGAATCGAACCGAAGATTTCTCACAAGAAAAGTTGTTAAGTACCCTAATTTGTTGGCAGAAAAATGGTCTCTTACTTAGCAACATAGTTTACTTCAAAAAGAAAAAAAGAAAAAAAAAATAAGTATTGTATTTGAGAGAGAGAGATATATATATATAGCTTGGTTTTGGAAATTTAATGGTGATACTTATGATGAAAGTAGAGGTCTATTTATAGGAGGAAAAATTGTTATTGAGAGCTACTACTATATGAAGTTTCATATGGTTAGGTGGTTACACGAGGGATCCAAAAACTATTCCAATTTGCATTATTAATAAGTTACTTGTTTATGAAGATAATTTATTTAAGGGTAAATTATTACATCCAAACTCTGAGGGAAGGTCGAATTACGAGAAATCCTCTTCTGTATGGTAATTACAACCGCCATCAACTATGGATCTTCTTACATGTCTACTCTTGATGGTGACAGATTTAGTGGAATCTTCTAGATTATGTGACATATTTTCCAGTTTGTACCGTTTTATCCGATTCGAGCTCCACTTAGTGAAACAATATGATCATAAGATTGTCTCCTGGCTTGTATATATCACATTGTGGTGCATCAGAAACTATAATTTTGCATAAAACGAGTACAAACTAGAGAACATTCCATAAAATCTAGAAGATTATATTGAATTTGACACCATAATAGTGCACGTGTAAGAAGATTCGTAATTTATGAGTTTGGTTGTAATTATTTTAACAAGATGAGTTTTCGTAATTTGTTATCTCGTATATCTTATGCTTTTGAATATTTAAATCTACATATAATATTTATCTTTGAGAATAAAAGAATGCAACAAGTGGATATCGCTTTTCGCTGGGTAACAACTAAAGTATATATTTAAATTAAAATGGAATGAGCATATGCATCATGACTAATTAGTAATTATAAAAACATACATTAGTTTAATTATTAAAATCTTAAAATAAACATTCCCTAAATCAGACATTTAATTGGCCCTCGGCCGCTGCGAAATGATCACAAGGATATAAATATATAATAGGGTGAAGAGCACTTAACCCCCTGTTGGTTACAATTATTTTTCAAATGATTCTCTTATGCTCGTAATATCATCACATAATTTCCTTGTGGTTTAGGGAGATAGCTTTCATTTTAGTTTTTCCGTCAAATTTAATTGCATGTGTCAAACTTTAAAGTATTTTTTTTTTTTTTTTTTTTTTTTTGCAGATGACCCCTTTATGCTTATATTTTTTGTAGATGACCATTCATCATGACTAATTAATAATTATAAAAACGTACATTAGTTTAATTATTAAAATCTTAAAATAAACATCCCTCGTCGCTGTGAAATGATCACAAGGATATAAATATAGAATAGGGTAAATATCACTTAACCCCTGGTGGTTACAAGTTTTTTCAAATGATTCTCTAATATCAGCATACAATTTCTTTGTGGTTTAGTAGGGAGGTAGTTTCCATTTTAGTTTTTCCGTCAAACTTAACCGTATGCGTCAAATTTCAAAGTTTCTTTTTTTTTTTTTTTTTTTGCTGATGACCCCCTTATGCTTACATTTTTCTTTTTATTTTTGTAAATGATCCCTTGAAGTTTGACACAAACAATTAAGTTTGACGGAAAAACTAACGGAAGCTACTCTCTCCAAACAAAATGGGCAGTGACGAAGTTAGGATTTCATGGGGGGGGGGGGGGGGGGGTTGAATATGCATTAAAAATAACGTAAGAAAATTAATGAAAAAAATGATTGTTCCAACAATGGTGAATCTGAGATGTTGCCACATGGTGGACTTAATTTTTTGGGGGTTCGGATTTTTTTTCTTATAAAACCAGAAGATAGGTAAAAGAAAAGTTAGTACTTTTTTTTTTGCATTTATTTGGATTTTAGATGCACTAAGTAATGAAATTTTGGTGGACTAAATATATAAAGGCGTAATACAGTGGAGTGGAGGCTTTTACAATTGAGGATGGCTTGAGTCTATCACTTCCTAAGGGTTCATACAGTTTGATAAACTGTTACAACAATATAATTTATATTTGCAGATGTTATTCTGAATTTGCTAACCCTTGTTCATGTAGGTACCATATATTTAGGGGGAGTAAATATTCTGACCAATCAATGCCAAAGAGGGAGAGTGTTAGAATCTCGGTGGGATTCTAAGTTGATGATGTTAATTACTTAGATTACCTGGGGTAGTGTAGAAAACGAACTGGGAGAGCAAAGCGGATCAGTAGCTTGAAAACTTGATGATCCTGAGGTACCTGCGATCATAGAACACATGAACTTAGCCGGGGGTTGATCCGGCGAAACCCCTCCGACGCTCAAGTGAGACGTGTTGATCATAGAAAATAGTCCAGAGAATACAGTTGTAGTATTGCTCAGTTAATAGGACGTACCTTAAGGAATGAGTTCAAACCTTTATTTATAGCTTAGTTGAGATTGTCAGGCCCAAACCTTACTTGAAGGTGATTGGGCCTTGGTGATAATGGGCTTCGATATTGGGCTCGTGGCCCAATATGTAAAGAAATTGTAGGCCCATTGGGTTGGCCCAATTAGGCATATCATAAGTCCACAACACCAAGTGGAATTCTATGGTGATGTGTATTAATACGAGGAACATATTTTCCTTAGTTATCTCATTAGATAATTTGAGAAGAAATAAATTATCTCTCCATATTAATCACCTGAACGTGTGTATCCAAAATAGAAAGAATTTCACCTTTCTAATATTGTGTTTATTGTCATTAATTGGTTTAGGTCTTCACAAGAATATAAAAGGGGGAGCTAATGCCGACGTTATTTGCTGAGTCTTTTATCACGTGGATGATTTACCACGTCGTCCTCCACCGCCCTCCAAGTCTACTAAGCCAAGTAAGCAAAGGGGAAGAATGCAGTCATTTACAAGAGGAGCGGCCCAAGGACCACCTACAGGGGGAGAAACACATGCAGAGGGAGCTGACTCCGTTGTGAACCACCTGCCGAAGCCACTATTGTTGGAACAGTTACTCTAACTGTGGCACGTACTGCTGCAGCAGTTTATGCCACTCTTGTTGCTGAAAGAGATGATGATGATGAGCTGTTCTTTTGATCTTTTGGATGATCTTTAGTTTATTACTTCCTTCTATCCTCTGTTATGTTTAGTTTTTTTTTTTGTGTTATATTCTGAACAATGGGCTGCATTAGTTGAAAGGTTATAACTGCTTGAAACTGCTCTAACATCTGTTCTATTATGTAGATTTTTTTTTCAGGCATTTTACTCAGGGGGAGAAAATGATTATAATCAATAAACGAAAAAGGGGGAGATTGTTAGAATCCCTTGGATTCTAATTATACAAGCATTAAATAAAACTTGTGCAACAAGTTTGAATATACCGTAAGCTAAAGAAGGGAAGAGTCCTTGTAACTTTTAATTCTTTTAATTTGTCATTAATTAATTTATAATAGGATTATTCTTCTAAAGAGTTTACTTGTATTGAAAATATTATTTCCTACGTGATTAAGAGTTTCCTAACCCTAATGGAGTTTATTTCCTTGTAGGACTCTTATTACTTGTAGAAGTATAAATAGCAGCACGGCGGCTCATACTCCAGGTCTTTCGTTGGAGAGAAAAATTATATTTTTCTACTCTTACTGCTCCCGGAACATCTTTCTATCGAGAGAAAATTTGCAAAGAAAATATCTTTTGTTCTCGTTTTTATTGCTCCGTGAGAAATGTTCTTTTCATAGAAAGTATACCGGCTTCAAGGCTTTGTGGTGAAGACACCAAGATTGAAGGAGTATCACAAGTTTGCTTCTTCTATATAAAAAGAAGATCGGTTCTTCGGGAGAGGGGCTTAAACAGATCAAGGGATTCAGCGTTGAAGGGAGTTCAACCGAGCGGAGAGGAGGCTGGCATAATCGGAGTCACTAGTTTTGAGTATTGCACAAGAGGGATCTTTAATTTATTGTTTAAGTCTTAATATTGTGCTTGTAAAACTAAAATAGTGAATATTCATTTTTTGCAGATCCTCGTGGATGTAAGGTACAATTGTATCCGAACCACATTAAAATTGTGCCTCGTTTATTTCTGTTTTAACAAACTATTTCACGAATTTGCAACAGGTCACGCAACAGTGACGAAAAACTGAATCTGACACAAATAATTAATATTTGCACCAAATAAATTCTAACATTTATATCTATATAAATATTTATCTTTGAGAATAAAAGAATGCAACAAATGGATATCGCTTTTCGCTGGGTAACAACTAAAGTATATATTTAAATTAAAATGGAATGACAATGCATCATGACTAATTAGTAATTTTAAAAACGTACATTAGTTTAATTATTAAAATCTTAAAATAAACATCCCTCGTCGCTGTGAAATGATCACAAGGATATAAATATATAATAGGGTAAATAGCACTTAACCTCTGGTGGTTACAAGTTTTTGCCGATGATTCCCTTATGCTCGTAATATCAGCACATAGTTTACTTGTGGTTTAGGGAGATAGCTTCCATCTTAGTTTTCCCGTCAAACTTCAAAGTATATATTTTTTTGCAGATGACCCCCTTATGCTTACATTTTTCTTTTTATTTTTGTAGATGATCCCTTGAAGTTTGACACAAACAGTTAAGTTTGACGGAAAAACTAATGGAAGCTACTCCCCTTAAACAAAATGGGCAGTGGGGAAGTCGGGATTTTATTACTTAGATGCACTAAGTAATAAAATTTTGGTGGACTAAATATATAAAGGCCGTAGTTCCAAGTCACAATTCGTAACTTCTTTATCCGCTTGTTAAATTTGTGATACGATCTCTTGAGTATCATAGGATTTCTTTACTAAACGTAAGAAAACTCTTCTTTATTATTTCTCTGCATAATAAAACCCTAGCACAAGACGACTATTTAAAGATAATAAAACCCTAGAATCCTAATCTAACTAGGAGACATAATTAACTATACTAATAAAATACTTAATATCTAACCTAACCACTAACTCACGGCCATATATATATTATAAATATACTAATCTAATTAATTAATAATAAACTACTAACTAAACTAATAATTAAATAATATAGTAAATAACATATCGTATCAATCCACCCCTCTTGAAACGAACCTTGTCCTCAAGGTTCTGCCCAATAATCGTCTCTCTTTTCTGTGTTTCCATCTATGCTTGACGCCATCGAATTGCTTTCCGATTGAATCCGAAAAACATGATGAAAAATTGAGCTCTTTTCCAAATATGAGTCCATCTGCCCGAACGAAATTTCTCAATCTCTTACCCGACAAATCAACCGTCGTCTCAATTGTCTTTTCAAATTTTGTTTCCTTCACAATTACTGACGCTTCTTCGTCTCTTTTCTTTTGAGCACCATGGAAATCTCCTAATATCCACTGTGTCTCTTCGTTCTCCTCCCTGGTTAATTTCTCGTCTTCATCCCACTTTACCTCAGTTGACTCCGATTCTTCTTCTTTCGACTCTTCGTCCCACTTTATCTCAGTTGAATCCGATTCTTCTTCTTCCGGCGAACTCAAAAAAATTTGGAGTTCTTCGAAAAAGTCATCGTCGTCCTCTTCCTCTTCCTTCGGGAATAGGCTCGGCAGCGGCATCGGCAGTGGCGGTGACGGGCGGCGGTCCCTTCGGCTTTTGTGATGGCGTTGACATCGTCCTTGACTTTGTTCGAGCAATTTTTGAAAATCAATCCGTAATTTCTCCACGGATTTCTCCAATCGCTCCAACCGTCTTGTTTCTGACATCATAATTTTCACAAAGTTTTGATGTGATCTCAACTTTGCTCCAGCTTAGCTTTGATATAATCTCTACTTTGCTAACGAAGCGTTGGTGTTATCGCAACTTCGCTCTGATACCAATTGATACGATCTCTTGAGTATCATAGGATTTCTTTACTAAACGTAAGAAAACTCTTCTTTATTATTTCTCTGCATAATAAAACCCTAGCACAAGACGACTATTTAAAGATAATAAAACCCTAGAATCCTAATCTAACTAGGAGACATAATTAACTATACTAATAAAATACTTAATATCTAACCTAACCACTAACTCACGGCCATATATATATTATAAATATACTAATCTAATTAATTAATAATAAACTACTAACTAAACTAATAATTAAATAATATAGTAAATAACATATCGTATCAATTTGATGGGGGTCCATGCCCCCAACCCCTGCCCTACATCGGCTTCCCCACTGAAAATGGGAGTTAAGTGCAAGGAATCATCTGCAAAAGCTGGTGACCACAGGGGAATTAAGTGTAGTAAAGGGCATCATTGATCTCTCTTTTTCTCTAGCATATATATATGACTAGTTGCATTATATTAGAATACAAAGTTCTGAATTAAATGTCATGCGCACTGCACTGACTTTGCAATAAGTACAGAATATACTTTCTGCATATGAAGAATTTAAATAATGAAAAGTGAATCTGAACTCGTACTTTGCGAGCGAGCATAAATCATATATCACGTCAGTTGGCTCCACTATGTAAAAAAAACATACATTAATCATGGGACTTTCCAATAAGTGCATAACAATTAAAAAAAAAAAAAATCTAGGACAAAATGCACTTTACACCCTAGAATTTATAGCTTTCGCACTTTTCTCCCTACAAATTCAAAAATGAAATTCTCCTCCTTCCAAATTTTGTTATAGTTGCACTTTGCCCCAAATGGGACTTTCCGCCATATTTTTCACATGTTCTTTCATATCCCGTCAATTTGAAGGGCACTTTTGTCCTTTCACCAATCCTACCCAAATATTATAGTTGCCACTGGTACCAGCACAATTCCAGCCAATTTATGTTGCCTAAACATCTCTCTTAGAAGCAGTGGCTCAACTTTGTTGGCCCCGCCGTCAAAATCTGTACTTCATTCTTTCCACAGCGCGCTGGTGGCCACCTATAAATCCCCGAGAAACTTAATGAGGCACGCCAATATGTGGGGTGTCATGCCAACGGCGCCGACCACCTTCGTTTCGGGCAGTGGCGAATCCAGGATTTTTGCCAAGGGGGTTCGAAATTGTAGAGTAAAAAATTTAAATATCACTTTATAAAAGTAGTAGACCAAAAATTCAAAATGTAAAAATTTTAGGTGAATTGTGGAAATATTTAATGAGAAAAAAGGTGAAAAATGTTAAGATTTGGAAAAATAATCAGATATTGAAAAAAAAATTCAAAATAGTGGAACAAAAAGATGAAAAATGTTAAGATTTGGAAAATAAATCAAATATTGAAAGGGATGGAGTTCGAACCCGGGACCTATTAATAAAAGAAGGCATACTTTTACCACCTCAACCACCTACTTTTTCTGTAAACATATGTATAATAGTATTATTTCTTTAAAATCAAGGGTGTGCAACTGCACACCCTAGACCATAGCTAGATCCGCCCTGGTTTCGGGCCGCACATTCTAAATGCTCCATGCATGTGACCGCTGGCGATGGCGGTGCGACAACCCCACCTCATCCTTCGATCCATCCAAGGCAACCCAGATGTACCTGTAGACATCGAAATTTTGAGATAAAACACCAATTAATAATCCAATAAATCGATTATTAAATTGGGTCTCACTCAAAGTCCATAATATATTTGGGCTTTACAAATGACCGGCCCATCCTACAAGTCAAGAAACCCTAGCTCGCGGCTATAAAAAGAGGGCTTTCGGTGCATGTAAAAATCAGACTCACACAGACACATATCGAGCTCTCAAGCTCAAGTCTCGAGCCTCCGCCTCGAATTCATAACATATTTGAATTCGAGGTGTTCGTGATAGGAAATCAGTCGATCGATTCAAGATCAAGCTTTTAAGCCCTTGAGTCAAATCTATCGAATTCATAACATATTTGAATTCGAGGTGTTCGTGATAGGAAATCATATGTTCGATTCAAGAACAAGCTTTTAAGCCCTTGAATCAAAATTAGAATATGAGAGAAGAATCAGGGGAATTCACGGAGATTGTAATCCGCTTTCGTCTGATAATAAATTTATTTGTTTCCTATATTTTTCTTGTCTTGTATTTTTCTTATATTTTGCAGACTCGAAAAATGGTGTGGTTTACAGTGCCCGTTCGCCAACCCCCACGGCGGGGCGACGATGAAGGAAACACGGTGCAGGTGCCGCGGCATTTTATGGAAAACGTGTACTAAACCCCCATGTGTTATAGAAAACATATACTAAACCCATCTGTTATTTTTATTGCGTAGAATCCCCTGTGTTTTATATTATCTTACATAAAATCCCCTCTTCCGTTAACAATTAACATCGTTAACTATTGTGGGTATTTATCTTTTTAGATTCATTGAACAAGCTTAAGCCTCTTCGGATGGAAGAATCATTTTCTAACCTACATTATGTTGGATGACCATCTCAACCAAAAGCTTAAGCTGTTAGTGAAATGTATCATTTAGTATTAATATCTCCAACACGCCCCCTCAAGTGCAGGCGAATTACATTTGAAGCCTTGCACTTGAAATATTTGAATTGGGTGGCGGTGGGATTCGAACTCAGGACCTTTTATTTGGCCTGGCTCTGATACCATGTTGGATGACCATCTCAACCAAAAGCTTAAGCTGTTAGTGAAATGTATCATTTAGTATTAATATCTCCAACACATTACACACTCAACATTAGAAGAAAGGTAATTATTTGACATTTTCTACACTTGGTGAAATTTCAATTAAAATTCACAATGCATATATGAACTTTCAACAGTACATAAAAGTTACATATCATTGGAGAACTATGTCTGTAATTATTAAGTTAACTAATTTGCAAAATTGATATACTTTATACTCATATTGAGTTTTATACCTGGGTATTTTCCCAATGTATAAATAGGGATTTGATCACCAATTATGCATTTTAATTCATTTATAGCTTCTTATGACAAGTTTCTCATTCAGTGGCATGCATGGGCGGAATTAGAATTTTTTTTATTGTGAAGTCGAAATTTTTTGAGGGGTGGACAATAATTGATGGGAGTTCAGGGGCAATACCTCTGATAGTTTTTAGAAGTATTTAAAGAAAAAAAAAAAAAAATAAGTATGTATTTATAAGTTTAATTAAACTAAGATACATTAAAACATAGAATATGATCAATAAAATTATTATCAAAACTCCTTAAAACTACAAACTACACTATATAGGTAGGTTAGCTGAATACATAAGGTTGCTGAAAAAAATAACGAAACCTTTAAATTAGATTGATATTTGATAAAATAAAAATATCATACAAATCAAATTAAAGACTTTTCTTTTTTTTTTTTTATATTTAATTTCTAATAACTGTGGGCTTTAACTATAATTAGGGTTTGATATTATGTAGTTTAACAAAGATTAGGGACTATGATTGGAAAAAAACAAAATAGATATAACTAATTATATTGAAATTAAAGTTCACAACATTGGTTTTTTATGTTATATTATTTTATTTATTACAAGCTTTTTAGAAAATGTTATATGAATTGCACCATCAAATGTTCTAAGAATTATATTGTCTTAAACAAGTTCAGATTGTTAGCATGAGATTTGAAGTGGTAACACTGATTTACTACAAACTTGAAGTAATTTGTAGTGATAATGCTAAGAATAAAAATGAAAATTTTGACTCCATGTAGACTTTTTTAGGAACTTTTAAATCAGAAACCTCCTAGCGAATTTATAATGTCTTCAAATATTTAATGTTTTACAGTTTGATGTTCATTAAGTATTTTGAATTTAATATTTATTGTAGGATAAATGTGTTGGCGCCAGATTTCCGAGTATTGAAGATCGAGGAAATCCGCCGAGTTTTGGAACTAAAAGATTGGCAAAGATTTGTTTTCCATGTTTATTTTGGAAATTATTAGAGTCCTATTTTATAATACTTCTATTAGGACTTAGATTTATTTCCATGTATTTTATTCTAGTTAGGTATCTTTTGTACTTATCTAGAATAGAAGTAGAAATCAACTAGGATTCTATTACCTAGTTAAATAGATTTCTTGAGGTTCAAGTTAGGTCTTAGGGCTTATTTTCGTGGCTATATAAGCCTCCAAGACATACAAGAACCGTGCGCATTATTTGGAAGAAAAACCACTTCATAGCGTCGAAGGTTTGCTAAAGGCGTTCTGCGGAGCAGGACTGTGCCATCGTTGCACTGTGTCATCGCTGTGTGTGCCAATATATACAGATCTGCTGTATAGATCTCAAGGGAGATCAGCCGCGTTTCTGAAGGGAGTTCAGGCCTGAAGGGAGTTCGAGGCACGCGGTGTGGAGCTGCTGTTGGAAGAGACACGGAGTTCAAGTTGTGTACAAGAACGGCATATTACATAAAGAGGGAGTCTTTAGTGTTTTTAATAAGTCCTATTAATGTACACTGTAAATCTGAACTAGTGAAATCGTGTTTGCAGGTCCACGTGGATGTAGGGCACATTTGTGTCTGAACCACATTAAATTCTTGTGTTTGTTTACTCGCTTTCAGTAGTTTATAACTGTGTTAACACAAGAATTGTGGTTGTAACTGCATACTGTTCCCACAACAACTGTTACAACTTCGGTTAACAGACTTTCATAGGCATTTAAATTCAACAATTGGCATCAAGAGCCGGTCACTAGATATACTTAGTGTCTGATTTTGGGAATTTGATTTATTTGCTTTACTTGTTGTAGGATGAGTATTCACAAGGAAGGCAGTTCAACTACACGACCCCCGTTGCTAGATGGAACGAACTATACATATTGGAAAACCAAGATGAAGATGTTCATCAAATCAATGGATGAAGATTCATGGCGTACAGTTCTAACAGGGTGGACGAGACCAGTGGCCAAAACCAGAGAAGGTTTTGAGTATGAAAAACACGAAGAAAACTGGAGCAAGAAAGAACAGGCAGTGGCAAATACCAATTCAAAGGCTTTAAATGCTATATTTAATGCGGTTGACACCAACCAATTTAAATTGATATCTGGTTGTGAATGTGCCAAAAGGGCATGGGATATTCTTCAAACTGCGTATGAAGGAACAGCCTCAGTAAGACTGTCAAAACTCCAGATGCTTGCCACTCGCTTCGAAGATCTCAGAATGAAAGAAGATGAGACTGTAGCTGACTTCAATTCGAAGTTATGCGACATTGCTAATGAAGCTCATGGCCTTGGAGAAACATATTCTGAAGAGAAACTGGTGCGCAAAGTTCTAAGATCTCTTCCAGATCGATTTGCATACAAGATAACTGCAATTGAAGAGGCTAATAATGTTGATGAACTCCATCTTGACGAGCTCATAGGAAACTTGCAAACATTTGAGAACAAGCTGAGTATGAGTAGAATGGACAAAGAAAGAAATTTAGCTCTGCAGTCAACCGATGTTCCAACTTCTGTTGTTCCGACTACTGTTGTTTCCTCTCCTGATGTACCAACAGTGTCTGCTGTTGAAGCAGAACTTATCAAATTAATGGCACGTATTGCTGAAAATTTTGATAAGATGGTCAGAGTAAATGAGAATCCCTCAAAGGCTGACACACGCCTCCAGAAAAGAAGAATTCAGTGTAAAGAATGTCAAGGATTTGGTCATACTCATTACGAGTGTACCAATAGACTAAAGAAGCGGGAAAAATCTGTTACTACTGCCAAGAGTGATGACATGAAAGACTCCAATGAGGAGGAAGACAAAAAGGATGGAAACCTTTTCTGTGGAACTAGCACGATTATTCAACCAATAGCTGAGGCTACAGTGCCTGTGCAGACATCATCCATCAGGTATGAACATTCTTTGTCTGATCACCTTGTCAGTCTAAACTCTTCTTTTAATACAGGTGAAACCAGCTCAGATGATGAAGAGGAGATTACTGCAGAAATGATTCAGCAACAACAAGATGAATTGCTCAAAACATGTCTTGCTGTAGATGAAATGAATAAGTCCTTGAAGACACAAGTTGCTGAGCTCGAGAAAGATAAAGAGGTATTTTTGTTCAAATTGAATGCTGCTACAAAAGATGTTGAGAAACTAAAACAACAGTTAAATTTAAAAAAATCTCAACCTCCTGCGAGTAAGAAAAAACATGTGTGTAAGTTTGACAAAAAGGTTGATCCTAAAAACACTTTTGTGAAGAAAACTGATTGTCCTAACAATTCGCATGTCTTAACAAACCAAAAGTTTTCTTGTAAAACTAATGGAAAAAAGTTTGTTCCAACTTGTCACTTCTGCCATAAATTGGGTCACATCAGACCAAAATGTTTTTTAAGATGGAAGTTGATAAATAAGAGTTTGTCACAACATTTACCCAATTCCGCTGCGTTGCAACATGTTCCTAAGATGGGACACTCTGATATAAAACAAAAATGGGTGAAAAAAGATGACATTAATTGCTTTTCCGCTGCAACTACTCTTAATACTTGTGCTAGTAACTTGTGGTACTGTTCTAAGTATATAACAGGTAATCCGAAGCACTTGAAGAACTATCAGAAATGTGCAAGTAGACATGCAACTCTTGGTGATGGAACTAAGAAACAGGTAAGAGGTAAAAGAACTATTAATCTTGGTAGAGATCTAGTTGAACAAAAGGTTGTGTCAATAGACTGTGTGTCAACAGATAATCAGTTTGCTGATTCTTTTACAAAACCTTTAGATTCCCCTCGATTTGATTCCTTGCGTAAATCGCTTGGAACTTGTTGTGTTCATAAATGAACAATGAAATGATAGTGTAACCATCCTTCTGTTATGTCCGGGTTACACTTGAAAGTTTAATAGGACATACTGAGTTACCACACATATCTTGTGGTAACAGCCTTTGTTGATCCTTGTTTTACTTTGAAAGGTTTGATTGTTTATTCTTGTTATCTGAATTTGGGTCGATAATTTTTGTGGATTAATTTTTTGTTCCTGCGAGGATTCTAGATAGAAGAGAGCTGCCACCCTCTATCGGGAGTGATCAATGCCTATGACCTCATTCATCTCAAAGATCATACCTCTATTGGGAGAATTATGCTACCGCATATGCATCCCTGACTTCTATCTAAAAGTTATGTGGATTCTTAAGGAGGTTGCCCTCCTAATGTTTGCTTGAACATCATATCAAAAAAAAAAGAGGAGGAGAAGAAAAATGGTTCGAATTTAAAAAAAAAAAAAAAAAAAAAAAAAAAAACAAAAAAAGGGAGGAGGAGAATAGTCCAAATTCAATAAAAAAAAAAAAAAAAAAAAAAAAAGGAGAGAAAAGTTGGGATGATATTCAAGCATATATTAGGAAATTCTCCTTGAAGTCCACGATCGAATTGCTGTGCTAATCGCATACGCATTCATAACCCTAAGAAAATTACATAAATTATGATTTCTTGAGTATGGTCATGAGGCTATAGGTATATCGTGCATCCAAGAGCTTGTTGATAGCATTTTATCTAGTTTCTTTCAATGTTCTTTTAATTAATCCTTGAAAAGAATCTTCCTATTTGGCTAACTTGGTCTACTTGATTTCCTTCATTATTCAAACTTGGTTCATGCTTGGGCTGATGCTCTTTATTTTTTCGAAATTTTTTTCCAGATTTATGAGGATTTTCAAATTAAGGGGATCTAGATATTTTGTATTTTTTGCGGCTTACCTTATTTGCTGACTGCGTGTCTTAACAGACCTTTGTGCTAACTAGGACTCTACGTCTATCTTTGGCACAGACTGATCAGAAAGGGGGAGTAGTAATAATAGACTCTGCAGTAACAACTTGCGTTGTGATTTCCTGCGCTTTGAATATTTTTATTTGATATGTCATGCGTTTAAGTTTATATTCTGACATTGCAGGAACATTTAGTTGGTTACGACATTTTTATGTCGAAACATTTAGTGTCCTAACAGTCAGTGTTACAGGGGGAGTATTTCTCTTCTGCAGGGGGAGTAGTTCTATTTTGCAGGGAGAGTTCTTGTTAAACATGGATTCTGACCAATCTATGCCAAAGGGGGAGATTGTTGGCGCCAGATTTCCGAGTATTGAAGATCGAGGAAATCCGCCGAGTTTTGGAACTAAAAGATTGGCAAAGATTTGTTTTCCATGTTTATTTTGGAAATTATTAGAGTCCTATTTTATAATACTTCTATTAGGACTTAGATTTATTTCCATGTATTTTATTCTAGTTAGGTATCTTTTGTACTTATCTAGAATAGAAGTAGAAATCAACTAGGATTCTATTACCTAGTTAAATAGATTTCTTGAGGTTCAAGTTAGGTCTTAGGGCTTATTTTCGTGGCTATATAAGCCTCCAAGACATACAAGAACCGTGCGCATTATTTGGAAGAAAAACCACTTCATAGCGTCGAAGGTTTGCTAAAGGCGTTCTGCGGAGCAGGACTGTGCCATCGTTGCACTGTGTCATCGCTGTGTGTGCCAATATATACAGATCTGCTGTATAGATCTCAAGGGAGATCAGCCGCGTTTCTGAAGGGAGTTCAGGCCTGAAGGGAGTTCGAGGCACGCGGTGTGGAGCTGCTGTTGGAAGAGACACGGAGTTCAAGTTGTGTACAAGAACGGCATATTACATAAAGAGGGAGTCTTTAGTGTTTTTAATAAGTCCTATTAATGTACACTGTAAATCTGAACTAGTGAAATCGTGTTTGCAGGTCCACGTGGATGTAGGGCACATTTGTGTCTGAACCACATTAAATTCTTGTGTTTGTTTACTCGCTTTCAGTAGTTTATAACTGTGTTAACACAAGAATTGTGGTTGTAACTGCATACTGTTCCCACAACAACTGTTACAACTTCGGTTAACAGACTTTCATAGGCATTTAAATTCAACAAAATGTACCGAAGGCAATGTATAAAGTAACAAAATAATAACTATCTAGACACGTGCAACGCACATGCATCTTCCTAGTTTAGATAAAAGGTATAAATGTGAAGAAGAAGAAGAAGAAGAAGAAGAAGAAGAAGACCACCAAGAGGAGGTAGAGGACGAGGAGGAAGAGGACAAAGAAGATGAAGAGGAAGAAGAGGAATATGACGAGGAGGAAGAGGACGAGGAATATGACGAAGAGGAAGAGGAAGAGGACGAAGAGCAAAAGGACGAGGAAGAAGCCGCTGTTGACTGCCGGTCTTTGGCATTAACTTCGTTTTTTTATTTATTTTTGAATTTTTAAATTTTTTTCTTAAAAAACTATTTTAATTAATATTACTGTCTTGGCTGCTAAATTACTGTCCCCAATAATTATTTAACTGTCGTAATTTAACTGTTAATTAACTTTTTTTTTTTTTGAAATTTTGTTTTTTCTTGAAAAAAATAATTTAATTAATATTATTGTCTTGGCTGCTAAATTGCTGTCTCCAACAGTATTTTAACTGTCTGAGACAGTAATATTATTGTATTAATTCATTTTATCGTCTTGGCATGCATTTTTACTGTCTTCGACTGTAATATATATTACTGTCTTCGACCGTAATATTACTGTCTCATGCAATATAATAATATTACTGTTTAGGACAGAGTAATATTACTGTTCGGGAAAATAATATTCATAATATTAATGTGATGTATTTGTTTAAATTCGGGGTCAATGTGTAATATTAAGAAAGTTAGAGTATAATGGATTGAATTGATAAAAAATATATTATGAAGGATATTTTAGACTAAAGACATGAAAATGGATTTATTTAAAAAACTGTTTTTTTTAGCCCAATGTGAATATAAGTCCATTGTCATCTCCCTTTCTGCCATATGCCCTAGAAAAATATGATTTGCTAAAATTCCACTAACTAAAATAAACATAGCAAGTGTTCTTGTTTCCATTTTTGCTATATCTCAAACATAATACCAACATCTACAGAATTACACATACACACAACACATACTGTAAAAGCTTCAAAGAGAGAGAAAAAAATGGTGGAGGAAGCGAGCAACAAGCAGGTTATACTAAAGGACTACGTAAAGGGTTTCCCTAAAGAATCGGATTTGATTCTGAAAACCTCCATTGTTAAACTGAAGATCCCAAACCAATGCTCCAACGACGCCGTTTTGGTCAAGAATCTCTACTTGTCTTGCGACCCTTACATGCGCGGCCGCATGGCGAAAACGGAGGGTAGCTACATTGACTCTTTTACCCCTGGTTCGGTTAGTATTTTCTGATTGGCTTTTTTTTAATTGGGGGGTTCAATTATGTTTCTTTATGTTCGAATGTGGTGTTTGTGCTCTGTGCTTCACCTGGTTGTACCTTGGTATGAGGAGATTCAGAGTAGTAGTATGTTTGTCTATGGGAAATTTACAGTTTTCGTCTCTCAAGTTTGCAACGATTTTACATTTGGTCCACTGTGTTCATAAAAAACACATTTTGATCCCTCTGTGCTTCAATAATTTGACACTTTTAGTCATTTCCGTTAATCTGTCAGCTACGACAGTGATAAGCAAACGTTTGATTCCGTACGGAAATTGACGGAGAGGACTAAAAAGTTGAATTTTTGAAACATGAGGAACCAAATGTGTTTTTTTGTGAACATGGTGGACCAAATTGGAAATGGTGCAAACTTGAGGGATGAAAATTGTATTTTTCCCTTTGTTCTATGCTACACCCATCAATGAATTATACTGGAAAAATTAAAGTTTTCACCCCTCAAGTTTTAGACTGATTACATACTTGGTCCCTCATATTTACATAAACTACATTTGGTCCCTTATGTTTCAAAAATTAATCACTTTTAGTCATTTCCGTCAACTTACCGTTGGTCCGTCAGTTAAGGCAGTGAGGGCACACATTCGATTCTGTTGTGTAATTTGTGCAAATTTAAAGGGTGAAAACTGTATTTTTCTCGAATTATATTTCATCGTATATATCCTAGTAAGAAGTACTGTGAGGTTTTAAATAACTATATACACAAATTTTATTATTATAATCAGACGATTACCGGATATGGAGTGGCGAAAATCGTGGATTCGTCTAATCCCGATTTGAAGAAAGGCGACTTGATTTGGGGCTTAACAGGCTGGGAGGAGTACAGCCTTATTAAACTAACACAGGGTTTATTCAAAATTCAGAATGCAGATCTGCCTCTCTCCTACTACACCGGAATTCTCGGTACGTAAATTGACATTTTTGCCCTGCTCCCGTTTCTTTTTTCTTTTGTTTTTGCATGCATGTATGTGATGGACTTTATAATATGATGTGTCATTGCTCCCATATATATAGGTATGCCTGGGCATACTGCTTATATTGGTTTTTATGAGATTTGTTCTCCGAAAAAGGGAGAATATGTCTTCGTTTCTGCTGCATCGGGAGCCGTTGGCCAACTCGTTGGCCAATTCGCCAAGTTGTTCGGGTGTTATGTTGTCGGCAGTGCTGGAAGCAAAGATAAGGTCTTTCAAATAAATAAAGATCACAAAATTCAAATTTTTATCCCATTATATTGCTCTTTGAATATATATATATATATATATATATATATATATATATATATATATATATATATATATATATATATATATATATATATATATATATATATATATATATATATATATATATATATATATATATATATATATATATATATATATATATATATATATATATATAATTTATTTTATTTTAATCAATTTTGTGTGAAGGTGGATCTTTTAAAGAATAAATTTGGGTTTGATGATGCATTCAACTACAAAGAAGAACCTAATTTAGATGCTGCTTTAAAGAGGTTAGTTTATTATTTCGTGTACGAAATCTGCAAGTTAGCAAAATAATTTTTTTTTTAATAAAACGAATGAACTAGCAACAGAAAATATATACGGGTGCACTAAGTAAAATTACACGTAAAACACAATGTGGCAACAACGTCTTCTTGGGTAAAGAAAATAATTTACGGCAAAATCAATTTCATCACAATTTCATCGCTAATAGGGACCAAAAAAACATACTGAAATGTTCAGAGTTTATGTTTTCATTTGCTTTTGCATGCATTTTGATTTTTCTCATTTCAAAATTTATGAAAATGTTAGGTATTTCCCGAACGGCATCGATATTTACTTTGAGAACGTGGGAGGAAAGATGTTCGACGCAGTGCTACTCAACATGAGAGTCAACGGCCGCATTGCCGTTTGTGGGATGATATCGCAGTACAACCTTGAAAATCCAGAAGAAGGTACTAGAAACTTGTTGTGCCTTATAACGAAGCGAATACGCATGGAGGGATTCTTGGTTTTCGATCACTACGGTCTCTATCCAAAGTTCTTGGAGATGGTGGTGCCGCTCGTTAAACAAGGGAAAATAACGTACGTTGAGGATGTAGCTCAAGGCCTTGAGAACGCACCAAATGCTCTCGTTGGGCTCTTCTCCGGCCGCAATGTAGGGAAGCAAGTTGTGGTTGTGGCTAGTGAGTAGCTTGTTTTGTTATGAAATTGTCATCAAGGACTTCCTTAATTTGGTTTTTAATTTTGTTTGTGTTGCTAAATGACATTGTCATCTTTGTTTTTCATTTCATCTTGTATTACTTTTTTACTATTGGAGATATGAATATTAAATAATACATTTCACCGATAATTAAAAAAAAAAAAATTTGACTACTCATATTCCAAGTGATAATTACACTTTTGGTCCTTATACTTACTACCTAAATTGATTTTCGTCCTCAAACATTGCCGCCACAATTAGATCCTCAAAAGGTTAAATAGCACTTAACACTCCTGTGGTTACAAACTTTTGCCAATGACCTCTCTGTGCTCGTAATATTAGCACATAATTACCTTGTGGTTGATGGGGGTAGCTTCCGTTAATTTTTCGCTCAAACTTAACCGCATGTGTCAAACTTCGAGGGGTCATCTACAAAAATGAAAGTACAAGAGGGTCATCTGCAAAAAAAATACTTTAACATTTGAAACTGACGGTTAAGTTTCACGGAAAAACTAACGGAAGCTATCCTCACCAAGAGGAGGTTATGTGTTCATATAAAAAGCATTAGGGGCCATCTGCCAAAGTTTGTAACCACAGATGGCTTAAGTCTTATTTACTCCCTCAAAATTACAACTTTTTGATAATTTTGGTTCGACAATCATATTTGGGTGTATACTCGGACGGAATCATCATGTGCGGCTTCACGTGATGTTCACTTGGCAATTAAAAAGAAAAAAAAAACAAAGAGAAAATCGTTGGGATATATGTACACGTAAGTTAAATTCCAATGATTTTTTTTTTATAAACTAATTGCAAATCGGTCGAAATTATTGTGCGTGCTTCTTCGTTAGTTACTTATACGAAAAGAGGACAAACATCTCGCACTATAACCTATTTGGTCATGGGTTCGAACCATCCAAATCCATAAAGGGGAATTGAGAACCAATAATTAAAGAAAGAGAGAAAAAAAAACACTAAAACCACTCATCTTAAACCTAGAAAGAGTTTATAGTGATGTTAGTGGGATTATTAAAGAAAAAAAAGTTATCGATGAACTGATATCGATCGATTAGCGACTGCGTGTAATGGGTGGGAATTCTTACTAGAAAATCGTTGGGATATATTACAAGGTAAAGTTTATTCACATATGAGGAACCTTTTCAACACGGAAAACGTGAACTTATTCCACTTTTTCCCTATCTAAAATCTTGAAAGATACTTTTGCTTTTCTTTTAAGGGCAAACTGCACATCACCCCCTAAGAATTTCTAATTTTCGCACTTTACCCCCTCAAAATTTTAAAAAGTGAATGTCACCCTTCGAATTGTTATTCTTGTTGCACATTGCCCCGATAGCAAAATTTTAATGGAATATTGATCGGCATTTGAGTATTTTTGTTGCACATTGCCCCTTTATATGTTACTTTTGTTGCACGTTACCCCTTAAAAAAACTATCTTTTTGCACATTGCCCCATTAAAATGTTATTTTCGTTGCAGAATATAATGCCCACCAAAATTGGTTTCTAGGGCAAAATGCAACCAAAATAATTTTTTTTTAAGGGGGATTATCCACTTTTTAAATTCTTAGGGGAGAAAGTGCGAAAATGGGAAATTTGTAGGGGTTTAATTGCATTTTGTCCTTCTTTTAATAAGAATTAAAATACACATGCCACCCTTAAAGTAATTACAACAACCCCCCCCTCTCTCTCTCTCTCTCTCTATATATATATATATATATACTAGTCATGGGCACCGCGCAAGGCGCGGTGGCAATACCCAGTAAATGTAGTAATTAAAAAAGAATACCAATGCATTTACACATAATCTAAATTAATCTTTGTGCAACAGAATCACTCAAACAAAACCTTGTTGTAAAAGTATCAGGAACATCTAGCGCAACAGCGGAAGCAAAAAATATTACAAGCGAAAATTACAACAATCAGCAAGGACGAAATTTCCAGCAATGCACAAAACTTAGGTGGGGAGGAACGCGGAAGACTGAATAAACAAATTGAAGAATCAGACGCGAAAGAAATATGTTATATAAGCGTGTCATAGGCACAGGCTGCAGACACAGATTCAGCCAGCTGAATGAAAAATAAATAAATTCTTCATCAAATCTTCACCTGAAAATCAGCAGCCTTCTGAAATGCAACAATCTTGTGCACTAAACCGAAAGCTGATAAGACCTACACATGAACTCCAATTTTAGCATATTACAGAGAAACCAAACTAAAAACGAGAAGGAAAGAAGGAAGCAAGATATATATAATTTCCAAAGGAAGTGAAGAAAGCTATCACCAATAGAAACCTGTCTAAGATTGGTAATAAACCAGCAAATGAGCCTAAATGGGAAAAATCCCTTCAAAACACATGGAATAGTTTAGGAAAAAGTGATATGCAATGTTTTATTAAGTTCCATATTTTAACTCCACCAGAAACACTCCTGTTATTCAAAACTGTAGAATAATTGGCCTCATTTATTCAGAGTCCAAAATATCAGACGTACTCAAATTGAATAAAGTACTCAAACAAGTTGCAGTCAATTAACAAAAAAGAATATAAAGAAAATTTGGTAAGGCTCATAAATCAGAACAACTCAAATTAAACAAGTAGTAAAAGAAGCTGTGATGGAGAAGATACATCCACAACCATGAACATACAAACATAATATCTCTACGACATAGGACATTTCTATATGCTGAAGAACTAAAACACCATCAGAAAAGAAAATGGAGAAGGGAAAATTAAGCATATAGTAACTTTCGACAAATCACAAAACGCGAGACTGGAATTTACTAAGTAAAAATAAATTTTCTAATTTGTAGTTTGGTATCTTAGTTGTCCTCATTGTTGTTAACCTTTCCTGTGAGTTCTTTCATTTTAAATAAAATTTCAAAAAAAAAAAAAAAATCGAAAATGGCCACAGTTGATCCTTTATCGGTTTGGCAACATTCGAAGTCGCATCAAGTCCTTCAAGCACCAAACATAACTCAATAAATAACATATACAAAACAAAATTACGCTTTTTTTCATCATAATACAACAAGTCCGAACACAATTCGATTAATTACCTGTCGATATTCAACAATTGTTGACCCAAACAGTATCGAGTGGGCCCGCCAGATTGATCTTGGCAAGACAGTTAACGTGCACGATAGTGTATCACTAAACATCGAAGTTCCTAAATAACCTCGTCTTGCCATCTTCGATCATGCCGCCTTCTTTAAATTTGCCGGGGAACACCAGAAGCAAGCTAGAAAGCCTAAACAATTGATAGCAGACGATCAAGACCAGACTCCAAAAAATCAAATAACCCATAAAAAATAATACGGTATGAATATCAGTGAAGAAAAAAAAAGATTACAGAGCAAACAAACGGTGGAGTTGCCTCCCCCTAAGAGAATATGTATATTACACGACAGCGGTGGAGAATCAAGGTCATTTAACCAACCTAAATTCGATGCCGACAAACTTCAATTTCGTTGCTCTTCTAGATCTTCCGCTACCACTCTTTTTGTTCGCCGCCGTCCTCCAAATCCAGAGGAATCTCAGATGAAAGAAACGCCGCAACGTCGCAGTGTTGGATTCTTTGCATATTAAGCAAGGCTAAAGTTATAAAAGTAATCAGGTTCATGATTAAATCTTTACACTTACATTCTCCTCAAATATAAAAATTCCAAAGAATCAAGAGATTTTCCAACAAATAACCCAATATTTGCACTTAATATATTGGGTCACCTTCGCAGAACAAAGGAAAGTGTTCAATTTATAAAAAAACTTGGAAGAACCATGCAATAAGAAATATTAAATGCGAACTCACATCAACGTCAAAAGCAGAAACTTCAGTAAGTGTTGCTACCGGCAGTTGAAGCTCGTCACTTTGTGTCTTGTGTCTTTCATAGTCCAGAAGAGACTAATGCATATAGAAGGACAAATTAGGGTTTTGACCTAAATGTAGCACCTAAAACACATTTCAAATTAAACGACAACGAAAAAAAATGTTAGCCTAAGAAAATGTTACCATCTCAACGTCGTACAAAATATCAACTTGTATGTTCTCACGCGAAATGAGATTGCAAAAAAGGAAAACTAAATTGAACCATTTTAACTTCGTATAATCAGAGTGAAACAGAGCAAAAGAAATACTCAACAATTAATATTGAAATTATGAAAAATTGAAAAAAAAATCATTGTGTCTGTAAACTAAATCCGGTAATGAAAACATGTTCGAATAAATCATTCCAGAATCAGGCTAATGACTAATCTATGTCTGGTACAGACTGATCATCCAAGAAACCCCCTCAACATACAAAACAGAAAAACAAAAATTGGTAAGGCCGACAAAAAACAAAAAGAAAAAAGGGCCATTATGTCCGAATACTTGAGAAGATGCCGTTTGGAGCAATAATTTAAGTACACTAATTGGTGGCAAGATAGAAACTATATTGAAATTTAGCAGGGGTAAATAAATTGTATAGCATATAGTCAATCCATTAGGCACAACTACTAACATAGCTAACATGTATTTTATCAGCAATAAACCAGCCAATATCTTGTGCCAATAGACAATTTCATCGATGACATTAATAATTTCTGATTAAGATAAGGTTGAACTCACCCGTCGAAGTTGTTCTTTTTACAAAAGTTTCTGAGGGCAACACACAAACTATTCACCCTCTTTGCACCTATGCTGGTAATTTAAACCCAAAAAGCTCAAAATCAGGAAATTTAATTGCCGAAATTGTCCTTGAGTATAAGAAATAATAGATTAAGAAAAGGACAAAGAAAAAGACATAAATTTCTTCAGGATAAAAAAAACATACACACAAAGAACGGAACAACAAAGACAATAAATTATTACCTGAAAGTGCTACGGCTGAAGTCGTGAAAATGAGCATCAACCTAGTTAAATCTAAAACATGTTGACCACGTAGATTGAAATTGATATCAAAATAAATTAATAAACACATTAGTAATAACGGAAAGGTAAAAAGAAAACAACATAGATAAAGAAAATCAAACTCACACGGCAAGCGCCAAATTGTTGAGAAGCTGCTCAAGATCCTCAAAGAAAAGGGAAACAGCTTCGAATATAACATCTGGGTAAGTATTCCAACATTACTCATGCATCTAAATGTCTAAAAGTGAAG